CCCCAGCCCGGGCACAGAGGCGCGAGAACGTCCTCTGCCCTCCGCTCCGGGCCCCCCGACACCCATTCCCACTCGTCCCGCTCCCTCTTTTTCCCTGTTAACGAACATCCCCCTGCCGGTTTCTTATCGCGGAGCAATTAAAGAGGGCTCCCTCTGCCATCCTCGCCAGCGTTACTGGTGCGAGAACCTCTCTCCGCGACGCCAGCCCTCGGAGGAGTCCTCGGCCCACGACGCGGCTGGGCAGGACGACGGGCGAGGACACCCGCCCCGGCGGAGAACCAGCGAGGGGCAGAGGGGGAAGGCCAAACCAGTTCGTCCACGTAAAGAGCAACCCGTGAAAGTGGAAATGGGTAAAACAGGGGTGAAATCCTTTGGGGGGGCGTTCAACTGTGAGCTGGAGTCACAGGGTGTAGGGCTACAAAATCCCCTTCGGCGCTGGCTCTCCCCCTGCGAGGGCTGGATAGGAGGCAGAGGAGCTCAGAAAGGGAGAAAAGAGCAATGTTTTCACTCATCCCAATCAGGATTGCGGCTGCTGAGCGCCGAGCGCCTGTGCGTGGGAAGCTGCTAAAGCCCCAGCTCAGTCGTCTCTCACCAGCAAGGGTCACACATCAGTGACACTCGCACTGATTTTGTCCCCGATACTCATAAACGCAGAAGAACGGCAGCACACCAGCGATGGCTTTGAGAACATTTGTCTCTTGAGGAGCGCACCCGTCGAACGCAAGGACTTGGCTGTCGGGTTAGGCACGTGCAGCTCCACGGCGTGTGCCGTGCACGCCAAGAAATCCTTGGGCGCTGCTCCCTCGAACTTTAATACAACCTTCACCTCTTAACTAGCTCTGGCCTGCGCGAAACCAAAACCGGTGTTTAAATAAAAGCGGCACCTACCTTAACGTTCCCGAATGTCCTACCAGGAATGCATGGTTTGCAAGAACAGCAGTAGATGCCACTAAGGCAGAGGGTTATCCGTGTTTGAAAGAAGAGATCTAGCTCAGGGGAAAAAAACCCTCCAATTTATAACCTTAGGGAAAAATAGATTTGATGTTTAACTTTCATCCAATTAATCTACCCATGTAAACAAACATCGTCGCAAAAAAAAAAAAAAAACCCAAAAAAAAAAAAAAAAAAAAGCCGGCTCAAAATGAGTTTGCTGGGGCGGGGGGGATTCCCTCCCAGGGGGCAAGTCCCCTTCATCAGACCACGCGCGCAGCAGCCGGCAGGAGCCCCGGTGCCAACCTGAGAGCTGCCGGCGTTAATCAGTGAAAAGGAACCGGGCCCAAAAGGGCCTGGGAGAACCGTCTCTGTTTTCCCAATGAACGACGTCCCGCGTGACTGGGCTCACGCAGTCACGTTCAGCAGCGGGATTTCGGTGGTGACCAGAAAAAACAGGAAGCAGGAGGAGAAAAACCATCATCATGCAGCTAGGTGCTGCCAGCAGTGGCGGCTCTTTGCTTGCTGCTCCGTTCACATTCAGGAAATATATTCATGTATTCAGGAAATGCCAAAGGAGGAGCGGGCGAGGAAGGTACTTACAGCTGTGGGATGGTGCATGGGCTCCCTCTACTTGCCCAGGTGGCCCAGGGCGCACAGGCTAGAGCTCGCCGAGACCAGCACAGCTGCCTTCACCTGATGGCACAAAAGTTTAGGTCTTGCAACAGCCAAAATTTGCTGAGCGCTACACAGAGCTTGCTGAAGCAGCTACTGCACTTCCCAGGGATTATCGGGACTTCTGGGTCATGCTGCAGGATGGATGTGGAGAAGGTGCTGTCACGCGACGCTCCTGGAGGACTCCGTCATGTTCCCGGCAGAGCCCCTCAGGGCACTCTGTGGCCGGGGTGGAATTTTCCATGAAACAAAGCAAACCGGAAAAGCAAAGCCACCATGGGAAGCCGACGACACGTTTGTCAAAATAGCTTTGTTTGTTTTGTTGTTTCTAAAGAGGGTAGCACTGTAACGGAGTTTGGCAAAGGGAAAGGATTTGCTGAAAAACTTGCAAGCAATTGTCTCTCTCTTATTTTAGTTTTCAAATAATGCCAAAACCAATAAGGTAGCCCTCTGTTCTTCAGGTACTCCATTTCCTCTTCTATGGCATCAGAGCCCTCGCTACACCTCAGAAACGCAGGGAATTAAAGCTTCGTTTCCCAGCAAGCAGGGAACGAAAGCACATTAGACAGGGAAGTCTATGGCTGAGGAAAGATGCCAGTTGAAGTCTGCAGACTTCTGTTACCTCTCCAGCCCAGCTCCTCCCTTCCTCCGTTTGCAAAAGCACAGTTTGAAGAAATTGCACTGACACTAAAACCACGCCGTTTGAATATTTATTCTTTGCATTTGACAATTAGGCTAGAGCATAGCTGCAATGCCAAAAACGTCCACAGAATTCATTTAAGCACAAGCTGAAATCGATCACTACTGTGTGCCAAGCTGTGGCCAATCTTTTTTTTTTTCTTTATTAAACCATCATAGCAAACACCATCCAACACAGAAAACACATAATAAAAGTTAAAAAGGAAGTTGTACCCTTTGACATGAGTCCGTTCCCTATTTACTGACTTACAGTAGAAATTAAGTTAACTATTTAGCTCTGCAGTGAGTTTAACATAAGGAACAGCAATTTGGGAAAATGTTACAACAGTCATCTAAGTGATGCACATCCAACTCGGCCGTCAGCCAAAGACGCTCTTGGCCGGCTCTCCTTTAGGTTTCTCAAAGACTGTTTCACCCCCCGTCCGATCTCGGCTGAATATGGAAGGTGCTGCAGAGCCCATTTGTTCTTGAAAAGGAAAACCAGAAGAGAAGGCAATCAATGAAGACGCACACAAAGTTATGGCAGTAACACTAGTGCTGCTAAAACATGCATACATTTGGCCCCAATAATTTATCACCCCATCTCCTTTCCCAGGAGCCAAACCTGGCATTTGCACCTGAGGACGTAGAGCCCACGGCTAACTTGGGCTTGTCACTGTGTTACCCCAAACCTTAAAACATCGCACTCTTATTCCAAGCACGGGGCAGGCTCCCAGCAACTGTGGGTGGTCACCACCATCGAGCGGCCCCTCAAGGAGGGGATTCCCTGCGGGTGCTTTAGAAACTTGGAAACTAGTGTGAGGTTCAGGATATCATGCTGAAGAAGGGTTAAAATTCATCAGTTTTTCTTGCACCTCCCCACTGGTGACGGAAGAGCAACACAAAAGCAGAGCGCCGTGAAGAAAGTATCCAGTTTGTAAGTCCTCTCTCACCTTTTGTCCTTTATTGCCCCCAAGGTGTTTCAGCTCAAACACGTAAAACTCATCCACGTGAGAAGGCAGAAATCGCCTAATCTGTGACCAGGCCTCCTGACCTTCAAACTCAGGCAGCCATTCATTGACATTGACCTTGAGACCAGCACTTGGTTTGAACCACGACTCAGAAGGCAAAGTTGGGGCTCTACCTCCCACTTTGCAAAGTTGAGTCAGGGAAAAAGATCACTTGAAGCAGAGCCCTGCTGGCATCTATTGGTGAGAATCAAGTGGGCAGATCATCGATTCAAACAGCCTCCACAGCCAGGTCACGGTATACAAGTATTGCTGGCTGCTGTCCTGGAGGAGCACCCCTTGGCTGAAGATGGCAGTTAAGTTAATGTTTTACTTTGGAAGATTGCTTAACCGTTTCTAGGAGGGAAAAGAGACTTACCACACTGCTTCATGACTTGGTAGGTTTTGGATTTAATTTCCTGGTTTTTGGAAAGGTTTCCTCTGGCTCCTTTGAGGTCTTCTTCCTTCACAGGAGGACGCTTCTTTTTCACGGGGGCCGGCTAAGAAAGATGCATTGCCCACACATCAGCATTTCAAGTTTAGAAACATAGGAAATAAAGCCACACTAGCCCAAGGCTACAACATCCAGAGTTGCTAATTCAACAGCCCGCCTAGTTCATCTTCGGGATTAACACATGCACACACTTTGCTCTTGATACAGCAGTACAACAGCACAACTGCAGGCAGCCAGACCTTGCAGGGAGAGCAAATCCAACACAGATATGCAGTGTCCAGGTGAAAAACCCCAAACCTGCCATCTTCCTGAAGAGTCCCTGAAAGCTCCTCTGCAGTATCTGAGAGAGTCAGCACTACACTGTGAATCTGAACTCGAATTGTTGATGGCGCAACCTTTTTTCTCTGTCCAGGTCTGCAGCTCTGCCAGGTCCTTTTGCAAGTGAAGACCAAGACAGACTGCCAATTAAAAAAAAAAAAAAAATCTGTCTTACGTTCAGGAAGATCAAAACAAACAAAAACCCTTACATCTTCCTAACTAAATTATCTTGCGTTTACTCATTGGGATAAGCTTGACCTACAGTTATTTGTCATACCTGACTCAGAAAAAACTTGTAAGAGAAACCACAAAAGACACGTGAGAAGTTCTACTGTCTTTTTCCCCCGACCATTACAGATCTTAGCCTCCAAACGTAGGGAACATAAACAACTGAGCACTCAAAGGTGTTGTCTACAAGCACGTGTTGAACACGTGTAAGTCCTTTGTGTTGAACGCATCCGAAACGCTGAAGAAGGAAAAGAAAACCTAACATAGAAACAGATGTGCCATCAGGTGGTGCACTAGAGTTTCCAAGCACAAACCTGTTTATCTTGGTAGAAGAAAATCAGGATAACGTTCAAAAACACCAGCCTACTCCTACCTTTAAACCACTATTTCAAATTCACACACATCAGTCAGCTGCAATCAGCACCACTGACATTTCCTCTTCAGTTTACCGCTTCAAGGCCTGGTTCCCAAGGTCCCACCCCACGGACCTCAGAGGGGTGCATCAACCGGCAGGCACCACCACCCTCACAGGAGACGCAATTAAACACCCAAACACTCCGATTTCAATATATTTGTGCACCGAACCATTGACAAGAAACTTCTCTGTCCATTGCTGCGTACACAGGACTTCTCACGTTTGGATTTTGGCAGTGATGGAGCCTACTCACAGATTTCTAAGTCAGTACCTGCAAAGCTAAAAACAGCTGCGCGGTTCAAGGAATCCAGTGTCCCAAGCCCCCGAGAATGACTTGACCACGAGTTGGCGAGAGCTCACGGAGACGGAGCGTGCAAGCACGGCTCTCGGCAGGGGAAGGCTGGCTGCGCTGGAGAATCCAGCATGTTTCCTGCTGGCTATAAACACCCGAGAAGGCTCAAAAATAGCTTGCTGTCAGTACCATTTACATGTGCTGTGGGAAACAAAACGTTCGCAAAATCTCTCGGGAGAACACCCTATAAGCAGCCAAAGAAAGCGAGGGGAAAGGGCCAATATCAAACCCTTCTAAATTCATAACCATCTTGGGTCCGTTGGCTTGTTCACCGAGTCCCTCCTCTCTAGCCGTGCCGGCATTCGTACGTCTGTATGGAGAACCGGCACGCGATGGGGCCGATTCCCCCCCCGAGTTGCCAG